AAGAGTTTAGGTTAAGTCAATTAAATTTTTAATCATTAGAAATTAATGATTGAGTAATAGTAGCTTAGAATTGGATAAATTCGTACTTAAGGTCAAATGTTAAAAGGTAAATCATGTTTACTTAATTGGGAGATGTTAACCAATCAAGAGTAACGAAAACAACTAGTTGCATAAATAAAAACCAAGAATTCAACGTCAAATAATTATGTAATTATAACAAAATCACACAAGAAGCACTAAGAGTTTTGTATTTTTATGGATTTGACCGTTCATATGCCTCTCTTTCTCTCTCTTTCCCTCTTATCTATATATATATGTATATATGTACAGAGATACGTAGTTGTCAGTGACAACAGAAGAAAGCACAGATCCTTTTAATTTAATATCAAAAATTGCATTACCTTGTCCTTTGCTTTTATCCCACATCTATATCTATAGATTTTATATTTTCTTCTTTTTCCAATTTGGTTAGGCCTCTGCCTACACTGTATAGATGCTGCAGACTAACCCTAACTTTGCTGAAAAAGATGGCTGTCATTTCTCTAACATCTTCAAAAACTATCGCCATCTCAGCCATTTTCCTTCTAATTTTTTCTCGTCCCAAAAACTACCCTTAAAAGGTAAAAAGTTAACTAACAAAATTACAATCCACCGTGGGTGTATTGTGTAATTTTTGGACAGCTTTCAATGCTGGGGTTAGGGCACTTCATTGCCTCTTGCAAACCAAAATCAATATCTAATATGCCTAGTTTCAATACTGAGTGATATATATATATATATATATATATATATGCATGACTAGACAAGAGCCATTTTGCAGAAGATCAATTAGTTTTGGGACACAATGGCATATGTACCTCTTAATTGTGGGGCACATTACACAGGCTCAAACACATTTTGTTGTCTGAGTCCCACCATCGTTTAAAACCTCTGTAAATCAAAAACCATTATCATCAATGCATTTGGCGTTGCTTTCTGATTAGTACTTCTCACTCTTCCCTCTTGGTCGATCTCTTTTTATTTTCCTTCTGTTCACATATGTATACATAGTACTATATATACGTAACGTATTCAATATTGATTGTTTGAGACGAGAAGGACCCACAATATTAGCACAATAACAACTTTAGCAACATTCATAAATTGATACCTGATGCACACTGAAATACTAACATGCTTACGTTGGTTTAAGTTTCTTTTTTTTATATTTACTGTATATCATATTATATTATATCAATGGTAGTAATAATTTTTTATAATTAAAATGCCCTTTCCCAGGGAGGGATTCTCTGGGTCTAGGATCAAGCCAAAGTAATTTTAGGTAGTGAAAGTAAATCTTTTAAGGTGACTGAAGTATTCTTTCATGAAATGCAAGGAGTGGCCAAGTTTTTGTCGTGTATATATAGGATAGGAATCCAGCTATAGAATTAAAATAACTATAAGGTTATAAATAATTGTGTAATGGTAATTAGCTCAGTAAATGGATGGCAATGAATTAATTTCTAACAATTTTCTATCGAGGCACTGACCCAATATCTGAAGCAAAGATCTCTGCCATGCTACCTGCTGACTTTGGAGGGCTGATTTGTTAACATTGTTTCAATTTTGAAGAAAAACGAGCCATTTTTTAACTTTATTTCAACAGTTTGTAGAATTTTAGCGAGTCATGAGTATAGCTCATATATATATATATATATATATATATATATATATATCTAGGTAATAAATATTATTACGAGTAAAAGTTACATGCATATAGGTTACAATACATTTTTCTAATAAATTAAAAAATATATACAAGTTGACTAATAAAATTCATACAGTAAGATTTTCAATAAAACATAGATAGAGATATACGTAATGCATATGTCCCTGTACATCGGTTCTACATAAAAATCTACAAGTTGACATTAATTTTAACATACTAAATAATATAGTAAGTACAAAAAAATTATCAAGCTATGATATTTAATTGAGAAAAAGCATATTATATATATAGTTACAATGAAAAAAGCAGAGCCAGCAGGAAAGACATAAAGATTTGAGTAGTTGATGAATTAGTATTTCATGTGAAGAAAAGTCAGGTATCTTAAATTTCCTGCAGAGAGTTCATCTAATACAAGTACGTACATGCATGCACAATGGTAGATGATATATATGTATACACACATATATATACATATGTACATATATATAGAGAGAGAGAGCTCCAATCTCTTTCGCTGGCTTGCTGGCTGTAAAAGCCTGTAATAATAGGTTCTCATGGTGGGGTGGAAATCCAATAAAGATGATGGCCGTGGAGGTGGCAAGCTGCTGCTGTATGTACCGTAGGGGTGCGTACAGTTTCACTGTGACATAGAGTACGGGTGATAGCTATAGCTTCATGATCTGCGATCTTCGCGTATATATATATATATATATATATGTATGTATGTACTTAGATGAGATGCCTTTTCTTTATTTTCTAGTGTATATATAATGAATTGATCACAATTTATAAGCTGTATCTCTCGAGGCACAAGTAGCAAAAGACATGACAGTAAGATGCATCGCTTGTCTGTTCTCGCACAGCAGCTGCCACGTTTACCTGACTCGCCATATGTAGTATTGTTTTAGCTCTTTATTTATGGCCTCACCTATATCTATAGGCCTTATAAATCGTATATAGGAGGTTGGAACCATGGCTGATAGCCGGTGGCTGGCTATTTTAATTATCAACCGTGTATATTTCACTTGTCAGTGAATTCCTATATATACACACACATATATCCAAGTATCGAGAGCTATGTACTGGATTATATTTTGTTAAGAGTTTTTATCTTTCGGATCAAATCTTCATGTTATTGATGCTTTTAAGTATGGAAAAGAAAGTTGTTGTAATTTCAAATGCACAAATGCCACTCTGGAATTTCAATGAGCAGGTTAATTTTTTTTTTTTTTTTTTTTTTTTTTTTTTTTAACGAATTTGACCTTATATTTGGATATGGGTGGGTATCGCGTTAATTAGAATTTTATAATTTTGATTTTATATGTTCAAGAAATGTTTGGATATAATTTTACGTTGGAATTAATTTTGAATACAATGAAAAAAAAAATTTATATATGTCAGTCATTTCATATGTTAATACAAACTTTTTATCTTTACAAGTTTTGTATATACAAAATATTAGAAGTCTCCAAATTCTTCATTGTTAGGCATCCCTTTGCCGACTCTAAGCTTAAGCTGCCAT